GGCAAGGCACAATTGTAAGAGGGACTTTACCTAACAAATAAAATCAGTGTAATCTGGTTCTTGTACCTTCAATGAGTCCCTAACAATAAAAAAAACCAGTAGTCACATGGAGGCTATGACAGGGCCTGGGAGCCTGGTTTAGCAGACAGGGCTCAAGCCTCAAAGGCCCTCCCAGTCCTGCGGCTGCTCTGAGGTCGTACTGGTGCAGGATTCTGAGAGCTTATTCTGAGCAAAGCAAGAAGCACAGAAGATGCAGATGTTTTTCTTTTTTCCAGATTGTGTCCCCATCACCCAGTCAGAACTTAGCCTCCCTGAACTAACATCACAAATTAAGTGCTATCATCCAGGTGTTAAAGTTCCACTTTATTCATTTGAAATGAGGACAGGGCATTTTTCCCTCTGATAACTTGGAAATGGTTTGGTTTTGGAAATGGTTTGGAGTTTCACTTATTTTTCATTCACATAGACATTGTGAAAATTGAGCAGAAGTTCTAATGGAAACATTTTAAACAATAATTAGGGGATATGGATGAATAGAGGGGATGTCTGTCACTTTTACTGTACTGGCAAAGATGAAAAAAAACTTCTAATATTTACAGTTGGGTTTGGGGATTTTTGTGTTCTATTACCCTTCTCCTAGGATGGTAAATTGGTAGGACATTTAGTTACATGGCAGTGATAGGACAAAAAGAGAAAGGTAGAGTGAGAGTTAGCATGCAACTTTGGTCCAAAAAAACTATTTCTACATATTTCAAGCTAAAGAAGTAATCTAATAAGGTAATTTACTATCTATTGTATCTAATAATTTAAGTAAAATTAGAACTGAAGTGTTCATTAACAGGAATTTATTGAACAAATGATTCTTTTATACCATTTTACTATGAATTTATTAAAAACAATGATATAGTGCTGTATTGATGTGGCAAGATATCCATAACATGGCAAGAATTAGTTTATAAAACAGTAATCTCATATTTGCAATTATATAATTATACGCTGCTATAGCTATAGATTACCTTTAATCCTTCTTTACAAATAAAGAAAAATGCACACTTGCTACTAAAGGTAAAAGAGGAATATAAGGGAAATAGAAAACAGATACAAGTAGCCTATAGCCTTTCACTTAGAAGCATCAACTGTTAAAATTTTTCTTACCCTTTTTAAAATGAATCTAAGTTTCTTTTATTTTATTGATTTATTTTTTGAGACAGAGTCTTAAGGTGTCACTCTGGATAGAGTGCCGTGGTGTACAGCTTATAGCAACCTCAAACTCCTGGGCCCAAGCAATTCTCTTGCCTCAACCTCCCAAGTACCTGGGACTACAGGCGCTCACAACAATGCTTGGCTATTTTTTGGTTGTAGTTGTCATTGTTGTTTGGCAGGCCTGGGCTGGATTTGAACCCGCCAGCCCTGGTGTACGTGGCTGGTGCCTAGCCGCTTGAGCTACAGGCACTGAGCCCTAAGTTTCTTTTATAATCACAAAATAGGGGGAAATGAACCTCTATTCTCATTTGAATGTTTTCATCTCTTTTTCTGTATTTTAGATTATGAAGTCAAAATATCGGTCCCTTTCTTATCCTTTTCTACTTCCAAAGTCTCAAACAACAGCCCATGAGTTGAGATACCAGGTACCTGGGTCTGTCCATGCTAATGTGCAGGTGAGTCTGGCTTTTCTCTGTGACAAAGTGCCACACAGTGAAATTGCTCTCTGGTACTAAGTCCCTCTGCCCTTGGCTCCAGGGTTTTCAATGACAGCTTTTCCAAAGCAAATCTAGATGGGTCTTTTCAAATTCAGGATTATATTTCCTGTGTTAATTGTATTCAATTCACTCTCTTTAAAAACTCTTTTATAAATGTGATAAATGCAGGTCCTCAGAAAGGGCCATGGTCAAGGAAAGGTTATTTCTATAAGTCCCTCTAAAGTGACCCTGGTTGCATGACCATAGCAAAGCTGGGCCTCAACTGCGTAAGCACCAGGAACGGGACTGACATGCAGCAGCTGGGAAGCTGGTTATGGTTTAACTATTTAATCTAATTTTAGTTCCTAACTAACCAAATGGCTTTTAGTTGCTTTTTTAATGGATTAGGGAATTTACTTAATAGAGTTACAAATTTTACCACATTCTGTTCAACCATCTCAAACTATAAAAAAGAAAACTCAAACTCAGCTAGCTATAGATAGAGGTTACCCAGTTTGCTCCCTTTATCAACCACAGTGCAGATATCCCGAGATCTTGTGGGAAAGACTGGGAGGAGCCACCTTTGGCATTGCCTTTAGTTCAAAGTCACCACTCTCAGCATCAAAGACACTGTTTAAATGAAGAGCCACCTGTTTGCTATGCTGCATGTCACCAGTATGGACTCATGTAATACAGACATGAACCTCAGTGGATGTATTCTGTAAATGAAGTGTTTAAATGAAGTCCCCATTAGCCCACATCACAAAATCCCAAAACTATAGATGTTAGCATGGATGTGGAGAAAAGAGAACACTTCTGCACTGCTGGTGGGAATGCAAACTAATACGTTCCTTTTGGAAAGAAGTTTGGAGGTCACTTAGGGATCTAAAAATAGACCTGCCATTTGACCCTGCAATTCCTCTATTAGGTATATATCCAGAAGACCAAAAATCACTTTATAACAAAGATATTTGCACCAGAATGTTTATTGAAGCCCAATTTATAATTGCTAAGAAGCCCAAGTGCCCATTGACCCACGAATGGATTAATAAATTGTGGTGTATGTACAGCACAGAATATTATGCAGCGTTTAAAAAGATGGAGACTTTACCTCTTTTATGTTTACATGGATGGTGCTGGAACATATTCTTAGCAAAGTATCTCAAGAATGGAAGAAAAAGTATCCAATGTACTTTACTATGAAACCAATATATAAGCACCTATACTTTTATATGAAAGCTATAACCGAACTGCAACCCAAGATGAAGGGGAAAGAGGAGAGGGAGGCAAGGGGAGGGGGAAGGATGGGTGGAGGGAGAGTAATTAGTGGGACCACACCTATGGTGCATTTTACAAGGGTACATGTCAAATCTACTAAGTGTAGAGTATAAATATCTTAACACAATAATTAAGAAAGTGCAGTGAAGGCTATGTTAACCAGTTTGATGAAAATATTTCAAATTGTATATAAAACCAGCACATTATACCCCATAAATGAGTTAATGTACACAGCTATGATTTAATAAAAAAAAAAATTAAATGAAGTCCCAGCTGTCTGCTATGCCACACATCACCCAAATGGACTCACGTAATACAGACGTAGACCTCAGTGATGTGCTCTGTAAATGAAGTGCTTATGTCAGTCACTTTGCACTGTGTGGAAAGAGAGGTGTGTGTGCAGGTATGAGAAACGAAGTCATTTCAGGCCATAGATCAAATAACAGAAAAGAACTTTGTTAAAAAAAAGAGTGACAAAAATGGAGAAATACCCATAGCAAATATTTAGTCATCCCAGACTAAGAAGAAAACTATTTTAAACTTAGAGGCACAGATAGCTATGATTTATGTGTAAGCTAATGAATGTTTTATGAGCTTGTTTAATTTTATTCTACATGAATGAGGAAAAATAACCCAAGCTTGAAGAATAAAATAAGAACATTGGTATCAGGAAAGTAAGTGAATTTAAGATTTGAACTTGCATTAAAGTTGACATGGTATTGAAGTTATTGAAGTTAACTGGTGTTAATTAAGCATTTGTTGAAAGAGCATTGCTGGGAATCATGTGTTCTCATGATCAATGCAGGAAGTTTTACTTAGTGTAGCCTATGTGCGCATTTGCCATTGCGCTGCTGTTAAAACCAGGACTCACACATATCCTCTTCCCGCTGCCCTGGTTGGGTGGACAGATACTCTGTAAAATGCTTCTCTGCGTTTCTCTTCTCTGTGTCACTGGATGTCCTGTCAGAGGTGGAACTAGATCAGATGGTCTCTTGTGATAAACTCAGGTGTTCATCCCTGATATACTCAGGAGGCCTAGACTCAGAAATCTACAAAGCCAATTTATTTAAAAGGACATTTACTAAGACTCACTCACTCACGCATTCATTCGGCCAACAAATTTGTTAAGTGCCATCTGTTGGCATAGTAAAGTCATCAAAGCACACTTGGGTGCTGAGGGAACAGATAGGAAGTTCTGTGCCTCCAGAAACTCCATTAGCTGGGAAAGAAGGCTGTGGTTTGAAAAGTTCAGTTAACAGGGCAAGGGTGGTCTCTGACTAAATGTCAGTTTGAAGGTGTGGACCAGCATACTGTAAGAGTATGGCAAACCAGAGGAACAGAACTGGGTGTCCACTCTAAGCATCCCACCTGCTCAGGAGACAGGAGGATCAACTGCAGCAAACCATGTGCTCGTAGAGAGGAGGTGGATGACTTAGGTGGCATAAGGCCAAGTGGGAGTGCCTGGAGTGCTGTCTATGTGCTCTTGGGCCTGGTCTTGGGCCTGGCACATTGATGAAGTTTGCAATTTTCATGCTGTGGAGAATATGATACAATATCAAGCAAGATACATGGATTTTAGGTAGATGAACCCAGAGACAGAGTTTCCCAAAGTGGTATTTGCCAGAAATAAAGGAGGGGACAGACAGGAGGGGCTTTGAGGAAAAAGACAAGATAGCAGAGTGACTGGACCCTGACAAAAATGTGGTGGTGGGGGGAGAGGTAAGGACGGTTAGTACAGTATTGCTGCCAGAGCACAGAGAAGCACAGGGCGTGTGCCGTGGTCACCAGGCCAGGACAGTGACTGAGACCACAGAGGGACTTGGTGCTCCTGCCGCCCATCTAGTTCTGTGCGACACAAATTCTGCAGTGTGATAATGTGTATGATAAAGAATCTGAAAGCATCTCTAGGCAGAGTTTCTGGAAATACAGGGAAATGGTCCAGCTAACAGAATAAAATATAAGATTCTGTAGCAAACTGTGGCCTCAGCAAGTCATTCGGACTCACTGA